CCAGGCTTGAGCTCAAGTTAAAAACAATACTCTAAATCCAAGGAACAGAGGAGCCTCTGAGCATCCTGCGGGCACAGCTCGCCCCCCAGTGGCCAATCCTGGAATTACTCAGAGGTCTGAGGCCTGGAGGGACTTTGTCCTCAGAGTGGGGAAAAGCCACCTGTGTAGTTAAGTTAGGGCAAGCTCACAGTGGATGGCACCTCAGAAAGACCCCTTGGGCCACTACCTGGGGAACACAAGGCCCAGGCCACATGTCAGAGCCAGGGGAACAGGGTATTCTGGCAGAGACTCCAGGGTCAGACCAGAGTATGATAGGCCAGCTCCAGGGCCATGAGCATGAACACAGGGGCCACCAAGCAGGAACTCCCAGAGAACCCTGTGGGATGGAACTGATGACTCCCAAGACAGCCGGCCCCCCTAGGCAGGCCCCATCCACCTCATTTCCTGCTTTCTTTGTTGATTGTTTTCTTTGTGACAGGGTTTCTCTCTTTGTAGCAGAGGCTGGCCTGCAACTCACAATCCTCCTGCCACAGTGTCCTGAGTATTAGAATGAAAGATATGAGCCATGAGCTTGGCTTCATTCAGATTTTTGCTTTTTGAGACAAAGTCTTAGGCAGCCTGGGCTGGCCTTGAACTTGCTATGTAGCTTAGTCTGCTCTTGAGTTCCTGATCCTCCTGCCACCACATCCCCAGTGCTGGGATCTCAGGTGTGCGACACCATACCCAGGCAGGAAATGGGAGGTTCCCAAGGGTTGTAACTTAGCCGGACCCTTCAACAGTGGAAGGACAGCAAAGATGTCTGAGAGGAAGGACATTGGCTGGCCAGCTGCCCTGAGACCCCAGTGCCAAGCAACAGCAGGCAGTAGGCAGGTGTTTCTTGAACAAATGAGACTCTGAGTGTCCTCAGTTGAGCAGACTGGGGGACTGCACACCAAGAGTTCTATCAGAGGCCAGTGAGGGGTTGGAAGTGATCAGAGTTAGGACTTCAAATATTCTAGAACATTTTAGTATCAATTGGTATACAAAGCACTCTGGGAGTCCCAAGAAAGGGAAACTGAGTGAGTAGTTTGATGGGGGCATGTTCTAGTTTCTTTTCTGTTGCTGTGACAAACACTCTGACCCAAAGCAACACAAGGGAGAAAGGGTTTGTTTGGCTTATGATCCCGTCATTTTCAAGCAGCTAGTCACTTGACATCTGTAGTCAAGAGCAGAGGCTAGTGTCTGCTGTTTATGCTCACTAGCTTTCTTCCCTCTCACAGTTCACAGTTCAGGGTCCAGCCTAGGGAATGGTGTCACCCACATCTGGGGTGGGTTTTCCCATCTCAACGAACAGTCAAACAATCCTCCTCCACAGACAAGCCAGTCCGATCCAGCCATTCTTTTTGGTCTTTAGGGTCTCCCTGTAGCCTCAGCTGGCCTGGCACTCATGTAGACCAGGCTGGCCTTGAACTCACAGAGATCTATCTACCTCTGCCTCCCGAGTGCTGGGATTAAAGATGGGCACCATCATGCCCAGATGATCCAGCAATTCTGATGCAGGCAATCCCTCAAGTAACTTCTCAGGGTATATCAAGCTGACACTTAAAACTAACCAGCACAGGAGACTTCTTAGAGGAGGTAGTGATGAGGCAAAGGGAATTGGGAGCCACTGGGGGGACCTGCAGCTGTGAAAGATCTGCATGAACCCTTGTGGATATCTGCTGGTAGGCCCAGAATCTCACAGATACAAGGCTTCCTGTTAAAAGAAATTCAAGTTCTTTTCTCTTTTCATTTATTTATTATGTATCTATGTATTTATTTATTATTTATTTATTTATTGAGACGGGCTATTTATTTATTTATTTATTTATTTATTTAATTTATTTAGACGGGCTCTCCCTGAAGCCCCAGCTGGCCTGGACCTTGTTCTGTAAACCAAGCTGGCCTAGATCTCACAGAGATCTGCCTGCCTCTACCTCCTGAGTGGGTTCAAAGGCCTGTGCCACCATGCCCAGCACAAATTTAATTCTTGATTTTTAATTTTTTTTTTTTTTTTGGTCTTTTGAGACAGGGTCTCCCCGTAGTCTCAGCTGGCCTGTAACTTGCTATGTATAGCAAGCTGGCCTTGAACTCACAGAGATCCATCTGCCTCTGCCTCCCAAATGCTAGGATTAAAGGCATGCACCACCACGACCAGCTATTTTTAATTAAAAAAAAATTTACTTATTATTTTATGTCTATGAGTGTTTGACCTGCATGCGTATAAGTGCACCCACCTGTACAATGCCTGAAGAGGTCAGAAGAGGGCGTTGGATCCCCTGGAACTGGAGTTACAGTTGGTTATTAGCTGTCATGTGGGTGCTGGTAATCAAACTTGGGTCCATCTGCAAGAGCAGCCAGTACTCTTAACTGCTGAGCCATCTCTCCAGCCCCACAAATTTAATTCTTAAAGCAAAATTCTCTAAAAGCAGAAGGTGGCAGATTTGAAATCTCAACCCTGGGGAGAGTGAAGCAGAATCGCCTTGAGTACAAACCCAGCCTTGGCTACAAGTAAGATCCCATCTCAAAAAAGGATGAGATGTTGTACAAAAAAGGAACTGGAGAGATAGCTCAGTCAGTAAAGTGCTTGCTGTACAAGCATGAAGACCTGAGTTAGATTCCCAGTATCTCATAAAAAAGCTGGGTGGGTGTCACACACTTGTAATCCCAGCACTGGGAAGCAGGAGACAGGATTCCCTGGGATGGACAGCTCCTAAGCAAAGCTTCCAGGAACTGGCAGGAGGGGAATAATGGGATCCTTTCCCAGAGCCAGCAGGGGGTGCTGTAAAGGCCCCCTTGCAGATCTGGACTACAGTATGGCCGCAGGCCCTCCACACTGCACAGGGCCCAGTCCCCTGTAGGGCACCCCACCCCCTGGTTTCCAGAACACTGAAGACTGGCCTTTTGCAAGCAATTGGTTTCCACTCCACTGCTTTCTATGAATGTGGAGAGGTCTATGTATCCAGTTCTAGGGCTGCACAGAGAGATCCTGTATTAAAAAAATGTTCAGCTTGTATAGATGTTTGTGTTGCAGAGTACAATGGAGTGACTAGCAAGAGGTAGAAAAGAATCAAATGTAGATGCTTGTGTGGCCTCCACCTCACACCGCCTGATCCTGCTGCATGAGCCACTGCTCCTGGCTTGGCCTGGGTTCTGAGGCTCTGTCCGGCATGAGGCCAGGTGACATGGTGGTGTTGCAGCTGAGACATGCGTGTTCCTGGAGGTGTGGTGATGGTTGCAGAGTGTACTGCAGATCCTGGGTGAGCCAGAAGAAAGAGGTGCTTCTATGATGATCTCAAAATTCTGAACTCAGGACTTGACCGGTAAGAAAGAAAACGATTTAGAGAGCCAAGACGGCAGCAGTGTGGCCGCAGGTGCCAGAGCAGTGGTGGTGATGGTAGATCTTGGCTTGGAGAGGCAGAGGTGTGATGGGCCGTGGGAGGACTTAAAATGTGACTCCAATAAGATGTCTCTTTACTTGTTCCCCTGGCCATGGAGGAAGATGTGAAAACAGCAGACACTTGACCATGAGAAAGAAAACACTCATCTGTCTCTTTAAGCAAAAACTAAAAGTGATTTTCTCCAATACTGATGTCCTTCTATCCAGAAATTTAAGTCAACAAGTAACTGTTGCCTCTGTTTGCGGCACAGAAGCCAAAATGCCCTATCTTAAACACAAGTATAATTATATGGACAGAAAATGTAGATAAGAAAATAGTAGGAATCAGTATAATTGAAATTATGACACCTCCTATGAGCCTGGAACTGTGATTGTCTCCTGTGGACCTGAAACTATGGTTCCCTCCCATGAGCTGGAGCTGTGGTCTCCTCCTGTGAGCTGAACCTGTGGTCCTTTCCAGTGAGCCTGGAGCTGTGGTCTTCTCCCGTGAGCTGGAGCTGTGGTCCCCTCCTGTGAGCTGAACCTGTGGTCCTTTCCAGTGAGCCTGGAGCTGTGGTCTCCTCCTATGAGCTGGAGCTGTGGTCTTCTCCCGTGAGCTGGAGCTGTGGTCTCCTCCTGTGAGCTGAACCTGTGGTCCTTTCCAGTGAGCCTGGAGCTGCGGTCTCCTCCCGTGAGCTGGAGCTATGGTCCCCTCCTGTAAGCTAGAGTTCTGTGGTCCCCAACCATGAGCCATGGTTCTACATTCCTCTGGTGATAGGCTAATGGTGGAGCAAGTCAGAGGATGGAGGACTTCCTGATGTTGGGCAGCAGTTTCAGCCTTCTCTAAGTGGCTGTATCACCTACAACCCATTCTCCCAAGGTCCCAGGTTGTAAATAGCAATGGCTTTGTCCCTGTGCTAACTTATGCTGGGGACAGAGGAGGTTTCTGTTATTTGCAGTTTCTAGTCTTGGGAGGACTAATTTCTCTAGAATGAACTCCCACCTCCCCTGATGGCTAGCTATGATCTTGACTCCACATGTGGTTCTGGGCACCCAGGCTTTGGACCTTTCCTATTCCCAGGCACTGAGGTTTTCTATGACTCTTCTACAGCCCCAGTGTACCTTCACCTGTGCCCTATAGAAAATGTAAAACATCTAATTGAACTTCTAGAGATAAAAGTCACAGTCTGGGAAGATTTTCTTTAAAAAATGTATCAAATGTAGCCTTTTAATTCCTCCCTTGTAACTGCTTGAACTTGGAACAAAACTGGCTCTCCCAACCCTTCCCCTGACCCTCTGGGGTCTGTCCTGTGGGTGACAGGATGCTCCATTCCTGGACACTAACTGTAGGGCAAACCAGAGGGCTCCAAGCCGCAGGTATAAGACACTAGCTGTGGGATGGAAAGAGGACAGAGCTAGCCTGTTACTGGTGCATCAGAGTCACACACACAGAGCTTGAAATGGAATAATTCCCAGGGGCAGGTAGTGGTCTGACCCCAGGAGACATGCTTCAAGCCATCTAGGAGAACAGAATGATGAGGGACATTGCCCAGACCTGGAGCCCCAGCCCTGCCCAGCAAACATACAACCATAGAAGCTAGTGTTCAATTTGTAAAAAGATTTATTGCTTCAATCATAAGTAACTTTTGAAAGATGATAAAATTCATTTGTCTTCCAGTAGAAAGAGGACAGGAGCCTGAGTTGAGTGATGGGCCTCTCTGCCCCTGCCTTTGGGGGAGGCACACCAGGCCACCAGACCAGATGTCAGGGGCCAGGTGCCTGTGGCAGATGACTGGCGCCTCTCCATCTCTGATTCAGCACCTGAAAGCCAGGGACCCTGAGGGAGGGGCTCAAGGCAGGGCTTGCCATCAAGAGTGACTGGTTCAGTATACAGGTGAAAGCAGAGACTGGGAGATTGGGACCAGGCACCACCCCAAAGCTGCGTGAATACTTGGTCAGGTCTGGGCACTGCCTGCCTTGTTTTGGCACAGGAGACAGACATACACCCAGTCAGGTTCCAGAGCAGCACCTGGCCCCCAGGAGTGGCAGGCCTGCCCTCCGTGGACACTGCAGCTTGCGGTCTGTTGAAGACAAATGGGAGGGGCAGGAAGTCAAGAGTCTGGGCTGGGTCAGCTCCCCACAAGAGGAGCCATGGCAGCCAGATCCCCAGGTCACTTTGAGAAGAGTGCTTGTGACCCAGCCCCTTCACAGGCATCTTCAGCAGCAGGTATGTCCCTGAGTGTTTTTGCACACGCCTGGGTATGTGTGTACTGTGCAGACAGGTGTGACATCTGGGGGCTCAGGCAGAAGCACTGGCAGGCTGTCCACTGAGAGAGTCCTTGAGAAGCGGGGTGTCGGGTCTGGGGGGCCAGTATGGTGGAGCCACCAGGCTTGAGAGGCTCATGGTATCTTTGGAACCCTGTGAAGAAAAGGGAAGGTCACCAGCCAGTCACCTAGCCCTGCTCTGCCCTGCCCTGTCCTATCCCACTAGCACAGAACCCCCTTTCCACCCCATCACAGCACTGTCCGCCATGAACCCTGTGGTGTCCCTTTCCACATGGGGCCTCCTCAGTGCTCGCTAGGCTGTGTGTCTCAGCCCCTTGATTTAGAGATGGGGAAACTGAGGCCAGAGAGACAGAGAGAGGACAGAGCAGGGATCCAGGTGGGTGTGCAACACTGTTATACATAAAAACTGGAAATAGCCTGCGACTACAGGAGGACATATGTTAAAGTTCTGTCACAGGGCCATCACAGACAGAAGCAGGAGGGGACAGCCAACTCTGGCTGTTGCTCACAGCATGACAGGGTCAGGGGTCAGCTGTTACAATTAGTTCTTGTTCATAGAAGCATGTCTACAGATGTAAAGAAAAGACCCACCCACCAAATTCCTGCAACGGTGGCTTGGGAACGGTGGGACTGGAAGAGGGACAAAAAGACCCAGGACAGGAAAAGGTAGGACAACACCCACAGTCAGAGAATGCAGCTCCTTTAGTCTTACATTTTAAAAGATTTCTCAGCTTAGGAAAATGACTAGGCAGCAGGGACAGTAAGAACAGGGGCACCTGCCCCCCGAGCCCCCACCTTCCTTCCCCTCGAACAGACGTGCACAGTCACACCCACAGACCAGTCCTGCCCCTGCTTACAGTTCAGGACCAATGCACCCTGGGATGGGGAAGCAAACTCCAGCCCCCAAGCAGACAAAGGGCTGCAGGAGGGGAGAGTCCCCTCCCTAAAAGACCCACCAAAGGTGGCCTGCAGGTGACCAACCCTCTCCTTCCCACACCTTGTAAGAAGGTCTCACTCAGAAGTAAAATGGAGGCTTTAGGGTGGGTGAAGCTTGGTGGTAGAATGCACTAAGTGCAAGGTCTTGGACTCAATTCCCAGCACCACAAAACCAGCAAACAAAACAAAACAGACAATAAAACAGATCAGAAGTAAAATGGGAATATAGGATTTCATGGTATATGCCTGTAACCCCAACACTTGGGACTGCCACAAGTTCAAAGCCAGTTAGAGCTACACAGAATGACCTTGTCTCAAAAAAAAAAAAAAAAAAAGGCCAAGTATGGTGGTGCACACTTTTAATCCCAACACTTAGGAGGCAGGGCAGGTAGACCTCTGTGAAATTAAGGCCAGCCCTGTCTACATAATGAGTTCTAGGACCAGCTGGGGTTACAGGGAGACTCTGTCTCAAAAAAGAAAAATAAAAATGTAAAAACAGGAGTTTAGTAGCTTAGTCTTTTCCAAGAAAAACACACACAAACTTATAAGGTGCTGGATCTCCAAGTAGATTTCCCCCTCAACCCCCACTGGCATTTGACAGAGGAGGATTTAGAACAGGAGACAATGAAAAGGAGAGAGGTTCAGAACATTTCCCGAAAATCCGCCTTGTACAGTTGTCCAGACTGTTCGCTGCACCAGGGCACCCAGCCAACTCTGTGTGCCAAGGCCTCTGCCCAACAGCATGCTCCATCTGCCAGAGGGACTGTCTTTTCTATTCATATAAAAATACCTTCTGGGCTAGTGAGGTCCTGTTTCCCCTTCTTCCCCTAGGGGCCACCCCTACACACAGGTGCAGGGCAGTGTGGGGCCTCCCCAAGTCTTAGCCTGGCAGTTGGAGGAGGCCCCATGCAAGAACCCACGTGCCCCATCCCCACGCTGAGCCAGTCCTCAGAGGATATGGCCTGGGCTAGGGTGTCTCCGGGAGTGAAACTCATTCCATAGCCTAGGGGAACCTCTAAGCCAAACAAAATTTCCATCAGGCTGGCAAAATAAAGAGATCCCGGTTTAATTTGTTTTATTGGGGTTTGGACATCCTGGGTAAGGAGGTGCAGCTGTGGGCTCCATCTGAAATAAAATGGCCATCTGGCAACTCTGCCTGGAGCCCCCTCACTGTCCTTCAGGAACCCTCACCTGCCCTGTTGGTAATACAAAACACTCCCTGCAGAGGGCGCCACGGCTGGAAGGCAGCAGGACCCGCCCCACTGGCCAGCACAAGGCTCCTGAAGGACCCTTGGACCTAGAAAGGCAAGGGGGCAGGCTGGGATGCCCAACCCGCTCACCAGGGACCCTTCCTCAGCCCCAGGGCCACATGGACACCCTGTCCTGTGATTCCTTGATGGGCACTGGAGCCCCAGCCTGCAGAGCGGGCCATCCTTCCTCTGTCCAGGTGGTGGCTCCTGCCAAGACAGGCGCTCATACACCCCTGAGTTTTCCATTTACTCTTCTCTTCTGACCAGGCAACTGGAGCTGAGACTGCTAGATAGCTGGCCCCCAGGAACTGAGGAGCCTGCCTATCCTCTCCTCAATCTTAGCTTGTTCCAGGCAGTCTCAAAAACTAAAATAGTAGCTATTATCCAAGACAGCTCACCCCTGCCAACCCCAAATTGCAGGGCCTGTCCTGTGGCTCTTCCTGTCACCTCCCTGGCAGGGATACATCCTACAGGGCCCAGACCCTCTTTAGCTCTGCACCCTTCAGGGACCTGGAGATCTCAGAGAAGCCCAGGGTGATGGCCTTAATCCCCACAAGGTAGGCTGCTGGATAAGCCAGGATGCAGCTACATCTGAATGGGGGGTGAGCCATCAATCCAGTCCATGCCAGCACTGTGCCTGTCAAACTTCACTTGGTCTGAAATTCACACTGAATCAAGCAGTCTTGTGCTTCCTGTGTGTTCAACCTGACAAACCTACCCCGGGCCTAGGCTCGGGTATACAGCTGGTGCTTAATAAATGCTCAAATTTTTTATTCTTGGTCAGTTATTACAGACTCAGGCCAGTATATCCCACAGGGAACCCTGGGCCTTTTACATTAAAATTGCCTTTGGGATCCAGGAAAATGAAGTTTGCAGGCCTCCGTGGGGCTCTGCAGTAGAAAGCTCTAGGCTTCCATGATGCTCAGGGATCTGTATTCTTGGGAACCAGTATGAGAAAGAGCTATGAGAAACAGCTGTCCTTAACCTTCCATCTTTTTCACAGAACCCGAGGAACTGCCTTCAGGATCCAGGAAACGGAGGCAGGCTGGGACCCACTGGGAAGGCAGGAGGGTGGTTCTGCCTGTGGAAGACATCCAGACAAACGCTGGGGGTGGAAAGGGTCATGGCAGGTCTACTGGCTACAGGCAGTGGGGGTTACCTGGTACGCACCTACAGCTTTGCTTCTTGCAGCACTGTACCCTTGGCAGCTGGTGACATCAGAGATTCAGAGTAGGCCTGAATGACCTCCTTATCCTGGGAGCCCTTTTTACTACCACTCCAAAATAAAAAGCATTTTTCCTGGAAGACAACCAAGCTGGTTTATAGTCTGGGCTGCAGTGCCCGGGCGACATTAGGTTCCCCAGAAGCAAAGGGGACAGAAAGGAATGGGATTGCAGAGTCCTCCACCCTGCCCTGGAAGACGGGAAAGCAGAGCTTCAGAGGGCCACTGACAGGAAGCAAGAGGAGAGATGGTGGCAGAGGTGGGGCGAGTGTTGGATTGCTCTTTTCTGGTTTGGTGGGGCTGGACTGTACACCAGGGCCTAGAGTCTCCTAATCACAACCTTGGTGAGTCCCTCCCCCAAGGCTCATGGAGCTTTGATTAGTGGGAAGCAGAGCTTTACCCTTAAAATAATTTTGCTTTGTTTCCTGTAAGAATGGTTTATGACCAAATGTGTTGTTCATCAGTATGCAATTTTTAAAAAATCAGGACAAGGGGCTGGAGCGATGGCTTTAGCAGTTAAGAGCACTGGCTATTCTTGCAGAAGACCCAGGTTCAAATCCCAGCATCTACATGGCAACTAACAACTGTCTGTAACTCCAGTTCCAAGGGAACCAATGCCCCTTTCTGTCCTCTGTGAGCACTGCACAATATGCGGGCATAATACTCATACACATAAAAAAGTAAATAAATAAAATCAGGACAGAAACATATAGGCCAGACTGACAGGGGGAGTGGGCTGTTCCCCTGGCTTCTGATGAAACCTTCAGGGTGAGCAAGAACCCTGCTCTTGGTGATCTGTGGACCCGTGATCCCTCATCTCCTTCCCTCTCTCTGTGGCTAACTGGAAGAGGCTGGTCCAGCTACCACTGGGCGGCAAGGAGGGAAGATGGGAGCCAGCCTGAAAGTCCAGCCCAATGTCCAGAGGTACCCAGGTGCCCTGTGGAGATGCCCAGCTGCCCCTCAAATGACTAGAGATTAGGGGGCTTGGGAAGGGAAGTAGACACCAGGTAGGGTTGCAGGGCCAGGGTGATTTGAGAAGGATCTGCTCTTTTCACAGCAAGCAAGGAAGCAGGAAAGAGAACTAACCGGCTGACTGGGACAAGAGGGCAGGTTCAAGGGTCTCCCCAACCAACCATGCTGTGGACCCAGGATGTCTCAGGTGGAACCCTGTATGTAGCCTTGCAGATTCCCTCCCCCATCATAGCTGGTCACTGTCTCTACTGTCCCCACTATCCCCGTCCCATAACTACAACTGTTGCTACCATGTGGGGACCAGGACTTGACCCTCATCTTCAGGCCGTGCATCCTGTTCATTTTTATTTTTTATTTATTCATTTATTACATTTTTCGGTCTTTTTGAGACAGGGTCTCTCTGTACCTTGTAGCCCCAGCTGGCCTGGAACTCATTTTTTTTTTTTTTTAAGGATAAGGCTTTTTAAAAAGTATTTTATTTATTATTTTTATTTTATGTGTATGAGTGTACTGCCTGCATGTAGGTAAGTGCACCCATGTCATGCAGTGCCCACGGAGGACAGAAGAGGTCATCGGATCTCCCTCAAACTAGTTACAGACAGTTGTTAGCTGCCATGTAGGTGCTGGGCTTTAAACCTGGGTCTTCTGCAAGAAAAATCAGTGTTCTTAACCACTGAGCCATCTCTCCAGCCCCTGGAACTAATTTTTTAATTTTTTTTTTTTTGTCTTTTTGAGACAGTCTCCCTGTAGTCCCAGCTGGCCTAGAACTCACAATGTAGACAAGGATGGTCTTGAACTCACAGAGATGTGCCTGCCTTTGCCTCCCAAGTGCTGGGACTAAAGATGTGCAACACCACGCTCGGCCTAATTTTTTTTTTTTTTTTTTTTTTTTGGTCTTTTTGAGACAGGGTCTCCCTGTAGCCCCAGCTGGCCTGGAATTCACTATGTAGATCAGGCTGGCCTTGAACTCACAGAGATCTGCCTGCCTCTGCCTCCCGAGTGCTAGGATTAAAGGCGTGTGCCATCATGCCCAGGCTCTGCCTAATTTTTAATCTTTAAAAAAGATTTATTTATGTGCATGTGGGTATATGTGTGTGTACTGCATGTATGCAGTACTCATGGGGATCAGAAGAGGGTGTCAGATCCCTTGGAGCTGGAGTTACAGGTGGTTGTGAACCACCCTATGTGGGTGCTGGGGACCAAACTTGGGTCCTCTCGAAGAGTAGTACATTCTCTTAACTGCTGAGCCATCTCTCCAGCTCTTTTCTGTATCTCCAGATCTGTGGACATGACCTGGCAAAAACACTCACCATAAGTGAATGGATGGCTAAGGCCAGAAGGGCAGAAGACTCAGTCACCCCTCTGCTTCCTGCTTCTAGGGGCTGGATGCCTTGGGGCTAAAGCTTTCATTTTTGTTCCCTTCCTGCTATAAGCTACCCCATCCCTGGTTTGAACCACTATTCTTTTGAAATTTAATTTATTTTTTGAGACAGGGTAAAATTTCAAGCAGCCAAGATTGGCCTCAAACTTCATATGTAGCCAAGGATGACTTTGAACTTTGGATCCTCCTGCCTCACTTCCCCAGTGCTGGGATTACAAGTGTGAGCCACCACACCTGGTTTATTCAGTACTAAGGATGGAACCCAGGGCAGAGTGCATGCTAGGTCAGCAATCTACCAGCTGAGCCACAGCCCATCCCTGTGACATCATTCTTGTTCACTTTTCTGACATGTGACCTATCTGCAACATAGCTGATCTAGTGACTCCTCCCCTTAAGATCTTCCCCTGTCTTCTAGGCAATCTAGAAATCGGCTCTAAGCTGCTTACCCCACATCACACCACAGGGCCTGTGTGCTGCCCCTGTCCCTTCTTAGTCATCCCCCATAACCATCCTCTTCAGTTGCCCTGGCCTTCCTTACTGTGCCTCTGTCCTTTCCCCAGGACCTTTGCACTAGCTAGCATTCCCATCACCATGGTGTTCCTCTTGTGGTTCTGTGCTGCATGCTTCCCAGGCACTGACATCTACAGTTGGATTCCACCTCTTCCTTTCCTGAATATATTTGTTCCCAAACCCCTTGGATAGGCACTGTTCAATCTGGGAGTCAATATGGCCTTTGAGTCCTTAAAACAGGGTGAACCCAGAGACTTGTGCATGTGAAAAGACCACTGGGTTTCAAAGATTAGATCTGAAAAAGAATTGGCAGGACCTTTATATTTGTATATTGACTGCATGTTCTTTTTTTTTTTTTAATCTTTTGTGGATTTTTCTGTCTCAGGGTTGAGGACTGAACCCAGGGCCTTGCATTTGCTAAACAACTAAATCCCAAGTCTATATTTTGTATTTGGCTTAAGCAAAATTTATAACTAATTTCACTTGTTTCTCTTGACTAGAAAATTTTAATTCAAGATCACAATGTGGTTCTTCCCATTTCCAGCTCATATCCGGCTCTTACCCATCACATTTTCTATCATCTTTATCTTCGGTAAAACTACCCTTTCTGTTTGATTTAACCTGGCTTTCTTTTGTTTCTCTGACCAGACCAGACCAGACCCCAGCTCCTCTTGGCAGGCACCCGTCTTCTGTGTGCCCTGCGCTTCACCGAGTCTTCACCAAGTGGTGCCCACTTGATGGTCAACTGACTGAGCACCAGCCTCACCACCCAGCACCTACAGGCAGCCCCTGGGGAGGGTCCGGGGCCTTCCAGCACAGGCAGAGAAGAGAGCGCAGGATGCGAGAGGCACGCGGATGAGTGGTGCTCCAACCCAAGCACAGAGCCAGCCTCCAGCCCCCGCTACTCCGCCCACTTACCTGGCTGCGAAGCTGGTAGATGATGGGCACTAGCAGCAGCAGGCCGCCAACGGCCAGCAGCACGTACTGCGCGTACTGCAGCACCTTGGGCACCAGCACCAGCTGCGTGTAGAACGTGCGCAGGGGCGCCCCGCCCATGGCCCCGCTCTGCGGGCGGAAGAAAGACCGACAGGTGAGGAGGACCGGCTGAGGACCGAACGCCCCATGCCCGCTCTAATAGCACTGGGACTACATTTCCCAGGTGCCCTCGCTGTTGGGCAGAACCATAACCAGGAACTGATCAAAGGGAGATGAATCTGGTCCAAAAGGCCCTCGAACTTGAATCCTCTCTTTCCACATCCATAAACTGAGTCTAAGGACATCAAGGGGCAGGGCAACGAGACGCAAAGACCTGGATCCCTGAATGGTGGCTTTTAGCGCAGGATTCCACCTCCGCGCATCCCTCAGACTGAGAGGTGAGAGGAAGTGACCCTGACCTTAGGAGCTGTCTGTCCAAGCCATTAGCAAATCCTGATAGACTGGAAATTAACGTAACCTAACCTACCTGAATATTAATATCATAGGTAAAATAATAATATATAAATAAGCTAGGCCAGAAGGAAACCTAAAACCTGGGAGAAATTTCAAAGGAAAAACGGACCCCTTCAAAACCATCTTTCTAGTCAGATGTAGTGGCAGTCTTAGCACTTGGGAGGCTGAGGCAGGAGGATCACCACACATTAGAGGCCAGTCTAGGCTACCTAGTGAGTCCAAGGCTAGCCAGGGATTCATGATGAGATCCCATCTCAGGAAAAAAAAAACAAAAAAAAAAACAATACACACATATTCTAAAACTCCTCTCTCAGGAAAATCAATGCAACACTAACAAACTATAACCCACTCTTACACCCCCCAGGGTCAAGGGCTTGTGACTTTTCTAATAAACTGTTTAAGGGTATCACCCTGGCCAGGCCCTGTGCCCCCTACACTTGCCCCCTGCCTCAGAAACACTAACCCCTCACTGCCCACCTGGCCTCACCTGTTCAAACCACAGCACCGGAAGGACCACAGGGTTGATTGTCCCGGTTTGCCTGGAAATAAGGGACACAGCAGGTAAGCAGCATGCCAGGGTGTGGGCAGTTTGGGCATGTGACTATGAGCACCCAGGCCAGGAGGGACCAGCTGTGTACTGGGCCACTGGGTCCTGAGCAGGTTGTGGGGACATGGGCTGTGATGGGCTGCCAGCAGAGGTCTCCCCTGGCCTGGAGCAACTCTACAATGTGACAATAATGTTTTTTGATTTTTAAAAAATATTTTATTCATTTTTATTTTATGTGTAAGAGTGTTTTGCCTGCATATGTGTAAGTGCACTGGTGAGTGTAGTGCCTGTGGAGGCCAGAAGAGGGTATCAGATTCCCTGGAACTGGGGTTACAAATGGTTGTTAACCACAATATGGGTCCTGGGAATGAAACACCCGGGTCCTCTGGAAGAGCAGTAAGTGCTCTTAACCACTGAGCCATCTCTCAAGCCTTTTTTTTTTTTTTGACTTTTGACTTTTGAATCAAGGTCTCACTATATATCCTGGGCTGGCCTGGAACTCTTTATATAGACCAGACTGGACTCAAACTCACAGAGATCCCCCTGTCTCTGCCTCCCGAGTACTAGAATTAAAAGTGTGCACTACCATACGTTGCAACAATAATCTTTTAAATTAAAGATTCACTTCTATACAACAAGGACTTAGCTCAGAGCCATTTGTCCACACCTTTAAAAATAAATTTGATGCTGCACATGCTATCCCAATACTCAGGAGGAAGAGACAGGCTCATCTCTGTGAGATCAAGCTTGGCCTACATTGCGAATTCCAAGCCAGATGGTGTGCTACAGGGAGACCTTGTTTCAAAAATAAATTCCAATTTCATTTAATGTGACAATTGCTCCACTGAACCTACTGTTTTCCTCTCCCACCTTGGGAGATGTTAACACAAATACTATGTTGGATACCTGAGAACTGACCACTTTCAGATGCCCGGAAGGCAGATATATATCTGGAACTCTAACAGCCATTTAGACCAAAGGACACCTTGAGAATGGAAGTTATGTGCTAGGAAAATGGTTCAGATAGAGCTGGGGGTGTTGCTCAGTAGCACAGCACATGGCAGCCTTATGTGAGACCTTGGGTTCAGTCCCCAGCACTGCAAAAGAAAATGGAACAGAAAGATGTGGTGGGAGCTTAGACTAAGAATGTCTTTAGGGAATCCCATACTGCCCTGGGATTGACAGCTAAAAGATGTGAACAATAATCTGGATGTGGTAGGCACAGGGACTTGAGGCAGGAGGACCAGAAGTTTAAGACCATCCTTGGCTATAAAAGGAGTTTGAGGATAGCCTGGGCTACGTGTGCCCTTAATTCTAATTACTTAATTAATAACAATAATGAACCTCATCCCACTGGAGCCTCAGTGGTGGCATCGGCTGCTGTCTATAGCCAAACCTAACCCCACAGACCCAGCTCCCAATCCAGCAAGTATTGTGGCCTTTAACACCTGCCTTCAAGGTTTGAGAAGGAACTGCCACAGGCTGGAGAGATGGCATGCTGGGTAAAGTTCTTGCTGCTCAAGCAATGAGGACCTGAACTGAGATCCTCAGAACCCAGGCTAAAAACTGTGTGTGACTGTGTGCACCTGTAACCCCAGTGCTGTAGACAGCAGATGCAGGAGGATGACAGGGGCTTTGCTGGCTGCCAGCCCAGCACCAAGTTCAATGAGATACCCTGTCTCAAGGGAATACAGTGGAGAGTGATGGAGCAGGACACCCAACCTTTCCCTGTGACCCCTGCACATACACCATTCCCTTTCTCATTCATTTCTCTCTCTCTCTCTCTCTCTCTCTCTCTCTCTCTCTCTCTCTCCTCTCCTCTCCTCTCCTCTCCTCTCCTCTCTTCTCCTCTGTCTCTGTCTCTTTCACTTGTCACAGTCATGAGGCACCTAGGGAACCATGAAAACTGAACAGGTTGTGATCCTGAAGCCAGGCTTGGGAAGCTGAGCAATGGGGTACAGCAGTAACAGCACATTAGATTTTGGTTTCTTATAGTGACAACTAATACCACAGGACCATGCTTCAGACACTGGGGGCAGGGGATGAAGAGCTCTGATACTGTAACCTTTCTATAAATCTATAGATTCTAGAGTAGGGCCTGGAGAGATGGCTTAGTGGTTAACAGTATTTGCTACTCTTGCAGACAACCCAAGTTCAGTTCTCAGTTCCTATATCAGGTGGCTCACAACTGCCTGTAACTCCAACTCCAGGGGGATGATCCAATACCCTCTTCTGGACTCTGCAGGCACTACATTCATGTGCACATACCCACACAGACACAGACAGACACACACACACATACACACATAAATAAAAATAAAATGAATCTTTTAAAAACTTTTTTTAAAGATTCTAAAGTATATTTTAGACAATGGAACCAATCAGTGTTTGGAAGCAGCAGTTTGGCATTAGGAGCTAGCCCGCCTTGGTCTCCAGTTTCCAGAGCCTGGGTAAGCCATATCTAGTGGTGCAGGATCAAGGCCAGAAGGGCTACAGAGTGAGTTCAAGGCCAGCCTGAGCAATTTAGTGAGATCCTATCTCAAAATAAGAAAGTGAAAAGAGCTGAGGATGTAGCTTAGTGATAGAGTACTTGTCTGGCATGTGCAAGACCCTGGGTTGTGTGCATGTACACACACACACACACACACACATATATATAACCCCCCCCACATACACACATACACACACCCACACACATATACACATATATACACATATGCCACAAACACACATCACACACACACATATACACATATGCCACAAACACACACACACCTATACACATGCCACACAAATATATACACCCATATATATATAAACACACACATTTTTTTAAAGCCATTCACAAAAGAGCCATTTTTCCATGAAATGCTCAAGATTGGCACATCCATAGAGACAGAAACAAGATTTGGGGTGCCTGGGGCTCAGGCAGGGAATAGGGGCTGCTAATGGCCTTGATGTTTCTTTTAGGAGTAAGGAAAATGTACTAAAATCAGCTGTAGCAACGTTTGCAAAACTCTGGATATTACTGTCTCTTAGTTGAACTTTTTAAAATTCTGAGACAGTCTCATGTATCTCAGGCCTCATGTATCCCTTGCAATCCTGGTCCTCCTGCTTCCACCCCAACAAGTGCTGGGCTCACAGGTGCCTGTCACCCCACCTGGTTTATGTGGCTCTTGGTATGGAACCCAGAACATCCTTGATGCTAGGTGACTGCTCCACCCACTGAGCTCAGCTTTGAATGACACATTGGGAAGGGCTTCTGTGGTATAGGAATTATATCTCTATATAGTTGTCTTTTTTTTTTAATTCAACGCTTAGACAGGTGCAGTGGTACATGCCTTTAATCCCAGCATTCAGTGAGAATGAGGCCAGCCTGGTCTACATAGAGAGTTTCAGGCTAGCTGGGGTTATAGAAAGACCTTGTCTCAAAAAACAAACAAAGAAAACCCTAAAACCAAAACCAAAAAATTCAGTGTTTAACAAGTTTCTCTGTGCAGGGTAGTCAGACTTTGGCCAGGCTTCAATTTCTCTATTCTTTTGAGGGGAGACAGTTTGGATTGAATATTCTGGCTGGTGGAGAATGAGATGTTAGGAAAGGAGGAGTCTGAGGAAGGGGCGTCAGGGTGCAGACTGGGCAAAGATGCCCTTATGGGAAAGACAAGCAAACACAGATCCTACACCTGAGGCCTTGCCTTGTCCCCACACCCTAGTTCCCAGAGTGCATGGAGCCTCCTGGCCCCCGAGGTCTGTGTGAGCCACAGCCTCACCCTGCTCACCCAATGCCCTTAACGGCTTTGATGTAGAGGCTCAGCTGCAGCTTCACAGAGCAGTTCATGGGGATCCCAGTGACCTGGACCAGAAGACAGAGAGGAGAGATAAGGGCAGGAGGTCCCCCCCAAGGCCCCCCCCCCCGGGTCTTCTCATCCACCTAAACCAGGCAACAGGCTGGGGAAGCCACTTTTCCAGAAACTCTCCATGCGTGCACTGGGGTCTCCTCCAGGAAATACACGCTTCCCAAAGGGCTTGGACATCCACCACCTCAGGTCTCCTCTATAGAGTCACCGGTCACCAGAGGGACAATTTCCATCTACCTGTTTGTTTGTTTGTTTGATTGGTTGTTTAGACAGACTCTCTTGTAGCCCAGGCTGGCCTCAAACTTGCTATGTAGCCGAGGACGACCTTAACTCCTGATCCTCTTGCCTCTACCTCCTGAATTCTGGGATTATAGCTGTGGGCCCCCACACCTGACTTAATGTGGTGCTGGAGATGTGGTACAGGCTCCATTCATATCCGTCAAGTGCTCTACCATCTGAGTCACATCCCCAGCCCTCACCCAACTGCTTCTTTTTTTAAAAAAAATTTATTTTTATTTTATGTGTATGAGTGTTTTCGTGCATGTATGTAAGAGTACCACATGTGCAATGCCTGCAGAGGCCAGAAGAGGACGTTGGATTCCCTGGGACTGGAGTTACATATGGTTGTTACCCGCCATGTGGGTGCTGGGAATCAAACCCAGGTCCTATGTAAGAGCAGCCAGTGCTCTTAACTGCTGAGACATCTCTCCAGCCCCCATCTTCACCTAACTTCTTAAGGCAGTCCCAAGTGTGGAGTATGTGTCAGTGAGAATCTTTTTTTCAGTCTGTTTCTAACATTTCCCATGGCTTAGGAAAGTCTTCACACTTCCTCCCCAGGTCTGATAACACCTTACCCAGGGTGAGCAGCCAGGAGGGGTGTCTCTGCCTGTCTATTTGCATGGTGGTCTTTTCTTTTTAGTTTTGGCTTTGCAGGACCTTGCTAGTTCCTAACTGAGGTACCATTGAAAATCTTCCTTAGTGCAGACCTAGTTTTAAAATGAGGTCCTTAAAAAACATAAACCAACAAGACACAGCTACTAGAAACAGTGGCTAAAATCAGGAAATGTTCTGGAAAGAAACAAGGAAAGGCCCATAGAAAGGGACCTTAATATGAAACCCCTGGCCTGGGGTTCTGGCTGAGGGTCTTTCCTTGCCCTGCCCAGCTCATGGGACCCTTCAAGGATGATAGGAGGTTCGGAGGCTGTCTCTGTGGGGATTGTGACCCTGGGCTTGTTATGCACACCAGAGAGAGGCAAGGACAACATTTATTTGAGCCCAGTGCACTCAGGTCTTTCTTGGCCCGGGGCAAACAGAGGCTAGGCAAAGTCCCCCAGAAAGTGGGCAGGACTTGTAGACTGTGAACTGGGACAGATACCCAGGGACTAGAACCATATATAGAGCTACATCACCTGTCTGGGGTGTGGGTCTACACCAGGCAGAGGGGTTCACAGGATAGATCCCCAGTCAGCACTCAGGCCCTGAGGTCCTGAGGGGCTTCTCCAAGAGAAACTCTCCCCACATGCCATGGTAGAGAGTCAGACACATGTGACTCCCCTGAGGTAGGACCCCAGATCCCTGAGTCTGGTCTCCCCAACTTCCACCCATGAGCCCATCCTCTCTAAAATTTTGCTTCCAGCTTTCCTTTGAACCAATTCTCTGCTGTGAGTCAGGCATGGTGGTGTACTCAGAGACTGAGGCAGGAAGATTTCAAATACAAGGACAGCCTGGGCTACGTAGAAAAACTGTCAAAACAAGAAAGAGGGCTGGGGATACAGCTGAATCAGAGCATCTGCCTAGAGTACACAAAGCCCACCCAGCAAAACAGAAAAGAAAACACGTTTACCCGAAAGGCCTTCAGGGAGGCATGGGAATCTTCGAGGGACAGAAACCCGACTTCCTGAGGGAGTGAAGATGCCAGCCCAACTGGGCACATCCTATAGTGACCAGAGGAAAGAGAAGGGCCAAGGTGCGTCCCCAGGAGGGCCATGTGTTCGAGTGTCACCCTCCTGGTCCCAGCTGGTAGACAGAACTTCACATGGGACAAATTCCCCAGACCGATTTCTCTTCAAGACATTATGGCCCTTGCTGGTATCTCAAGATCTTTATCTTGACACTGTGGAGGGTGTCTCTGGTGCAGGAAACGCCCCAGATGATAATTCCTAATTAATTTACTATCTCTTAGCCCTTTTATAGGCCCCAATAAAGGAGTAACTTAACCATTGAACTATGGAGTTGGGATAAAGTAGGACCTTTGATGGCTCGAAGTTCTGGAAGCTGCCACTGTGGAAGGAACTGAGCCAGCTCTGTGCCTGGCCAGCGTCGACCTCTGAGAATAGCCCCCTCCTCAGGCAGGGGGCAGGACTCACCGGGTGGATGTCCAGGAACAGAGAATGCTCCCTTGGGTTGGGGTGCAGGCCGGCCACTGCTTCTGACAGTACAGGGTCAGCATTGTAGAAGTGAGGATGAGAGAGAAACAGGGGTGCACCTGAAGGAGGGGAAAGAGGGGAGTCAGGAGACAGGGGTCCTCTGTGAGACTCCTCCTTGTTGGGCCAGCTGGATACCAGAGGTGCCGGGACACAGAAAAAGACCCACAGTTAGCGGGGCATCCCAGTGATACTAACAAGATGTGAACATGGGTTGTGAGACAGCGAGAATCCTTGAAGCCAGGGTGGATGAAGCCAGGGTGGCTGAAATGGGAGAGAGCAGAAGAAGGAAGAGGGTTACCTGCCAGGCATTCTAGGTACAAGGGTGGCAGAGGGAACACAGGGAGGCAGAAGAAGGGAGGCCCAGAGACCAGGGGTGCATCTGAACACCAAGACAGGCATCTAGGCTGTCTCCACAAGCATTGCAGCTCAGAGGTATGCACGGGTCATCTCTAATGTCCACAGAGGGGAGGGGACAGGCCTGCCTGGAGTGTAGGTGAATCAGAAGATTGCCACCCAGAGCCGAGGCTGGACCTTGCCACTGACCAACCAAAGTGGGTTGACAGCCATCTTAGGGACAAGGACCTGATGTGTGAGCTACAACAAGGGTCCTTCAGAGGCTTCCACAAGGGCCTGCACCATGCAAAGGGACACAGTGTGGTGGCTAAGGAGTATGCTGTTTCCTGGGGACTAAAGTGGCACTAGACAGGTACTGGCTGCTGAACCTTTCCAAAGTCAAATGCCACTGGGTTGAGCTTTTTTTTATTTAAAGGTATGCGCCACCAATGCCCAGCTTAAATATATATATATATATATATATAATTATTTTTATATAAGAGTCAGGAAAATAGAAGGTACCATGTGGGTAAAGAGGAAGAAGGTGCTCTTGGGGATACAAGAGCAGTCAGTGCTCTTAACCGCTGAGCCATCTCTCCAGCCCCATCCATGTTTGTTGCTGCTCTTTTCACAATGGCTGAGATGTAAGT